TCTGCTACTGCCATGCCAGTTATGAACTATGCAGAGGATAATGGCTAGCCTCACGAGCTAGGACTTTCCGCATAGCGTCTATGTACGACATAGGATGTATAAGTTATACGGACAAATTTTCTCTTACTGTTGCGTAGCAGTGAGGATTTTGGTGTAATCTAGCTAATCCATCATCGTCACTCCTAATCATCAGGCTTAGGCTAGTCTGGTAAAGCACCAGCAGCCGGCGTTTTGACCTTCTGGATCTCATCAGTGGTGTGTCTCAAAGCGGACCCCTGCCGGGTTCCACTCCCCAAAAATCCAGGATGCCAGCAGCTAGTGCCACTTCGCCATGGGTTACAGTTGACTATGATATTTCGTTATTCAACCGTTCTTTCATATAGAGATAGATGCAAGGAGCTGTGATTATGAAGAATGCATTTAATTCTGTGCTTCCTACACAAACCCGCGTGGCGGAAAGCATGTGTTGGAACCTATCAATCGCACTTTCGGGAAAACACCAGTTTTTAATTGCAAGACTGTAAATGTATAGTTTCTTTACCTAAATTCAGAACCAACCTGAGGAGAAATTTCTACCTACTTAGGTCTGGCTCCATTTGGAATAAGCTGTCAAAAGAGATTAAATGTATCGAACACTTGCAAGTTCAAGAAAATGATCCTCCGCCAAATAATGGGAAGACGAAGAAGATTGCAAAATCTAGGTATAATCCAAACTCTTCTTAGTCCCAGTTGAAACTTGCGCTCATTAAAGTGAACCGGCTAGTGAATATGATTAAGGAAATCCCTAACCAGCAAAAGCCGCAGCAACTAGAGGGAAGTCGAGTTCTTGCGAGGGAACGATGTCCGATCATGGTAAAAGCCCTGAGTCTAATAAGGAATCCTCGGTTGATAGGATATTGCAGGACCAAGCTTTTCTGAAGCGGATGGTTTCCTTACTGTTCTATGCTGGGGAATAGAGCATAAACGTCAGTTCTGCCTTTCGGCTCGACAGGAAGTAGGACGACTCCTTGAAAGTTCTAAGCCTAAAGATGGTCTGTCTAGATGAAGAGGAATGCCGCCGTATCCTCCAGCGGACCTCACGTCTGAAAGGAGAAACATTCTATGTTTTGAGGGAACTACCCCCAGAAGAGTTAAAATGAAGCAGACCATTGATGACCTACGAATCCGACGAGCAGATGGTGAAAGTGGTCTTCACATTGTGGATTTTCGAGTAGTAAAAGGAGTCCCGAGGACTCGGTAGAGACCAATCTTCGTTCTTCTGATGCACCGGGAATCAGGGGTGGATTGAGGGTGATATCTGCTAACGTGCGCAGTTTGAGAAACAAGTTGGATAAGATTCTACCCATGATCTCAGAGCATTAAGCCGATTTGAAAGCTTTCACGGAAACTTAGCTGTCCTTGGATATTTTAAACTCGGAGGTATTTATTCCAGGGCATCAACCATCCTGGGCGGATCGTTTAGGTGGGAGGTCCGGGGGCGGGGTGGTTCATTACAGGAGGGCAGACCTTAAAGTTCATACGGTGGAAGATATGTGTGATCTTGACGGAGGATCGGAAATTCGTTGGTGAAGGGATCACGATGGGCTTAGAGCGCTCATGGTCAGCGTTATCTACAAAGCCCTTTTGGGATCAGGATGTCATCTTCTAGACCCTATGGGGATACACGGGGGAGGCAAAGATGCCTTTAATGCTCCGGTCCTATACTGGGATACTCCAGATTCTTTTGATACATGTTTATTAGAAACAGTCATCGAAAGTAACCTAACTCAATACGTTTTATCACCTACCGTTATTTTCCAAACCAAATACCACACATCCTTGACCTTAAGCTCACGCCTGCTCCGTCAGATGTCTCCGCTCTAGCTATTCTTCAGCCTCTCGACAAAAGCGATCACTGTGTAGTATACCTTTTGTGGACACGACAGTTAGCTATCCATGTCCAGGGAGTATATCGACGGAATTTCTGTAGAGCTGGTCTTCTCCGCCTAAGTTTAGCTACAAGAATCATGGAATGGAACATCCTACATCAGTTGGATCTTGATGCCGCTTGGGACCTTTCGTGCTCCAAGGTGATCTTAATCATTGATCAGGTTGTTCCAAGGGGCACAAAACGATCTTTCTCCAAAGGGTCCCCATGGATAGACCAAGAAATCAAATCGCTCATGCTGAGAAGGCGAAAATTTTAAGACTGGTTCAAGTTCACCGAGACAGTTCAAACTTACTCTCATTGCAAAGAGGTTAGAAATTCCTGTACCCTAAGAAAATGTGAGAAGCGAGTGTAATCCGAGTTTCCCGTCTGTCAAAATATTTAGGTCTGCCCAACCCCTTCATGAACTCTGTTCGTTACTGACGGCCTAGTTTGGTGTTTCACTACCTCTGTTTCCTCTATGTCCGAATTCCGCTTCACTCCTGCCAGCTGCATCGCCCCTTGTTTGGACTGCGTTCTGCCCCGCCTGTCTTTCTACCGGCTCTCTACGCAACTACACCCATTCACTTCCACTGACCTTTACATCACCAATCACTTGTTCGTTAGTCAAGAAAACCATGTTAAGACCTGTCCGTCAGCTCCAGTGCGTTGGGGAAATTCTTCACACACTTTTACCAATTTCGCGAATAATCCGGCTACTATATGAATGTTATAGCTTGGCCTGTAAATGTCAATCTCTTGTTTCGCGCATACCTTGTGGCGAAGGCTGATTAATGAGGTTTTCCATTTCTCTGCAAAATTCTTGGATCCCAGTGAAACGGCAAACATAGACAAAAGGAGCAGTGACATACCAGGTCCTCCCAGTTTCATGGCGGATGGGGGGATGCCATTAGCTTCCAGCATTGAGCACGGTTGAATAGAATGTGTTGCAAGGTGGAAATTGCGGACAGCAATAACACTTTAGGTGGAGCCTTGGTGTAATTATAGCGTTGGTATCAAGCGTCATGTAGGTGGAGAAGAGCGAGCTACATGTTTTAGAGATGGCGCCTGGATGTGGTCCACCAATTCAGTGACCAAAGAATAGCGTTTGCTGGTACTTCAACGCAGATACCTGGTCAGCTCTATTGCTTTACATGTCTTTCCTAGGTCGCTTGATCTTTATGTCCCAAAGTGGGCCGTACTGTATCACGGTACTTAGTTGAACGCAGTATTCCGCCTGTAGCGCATGAAAGTATAACATGTCCGTTTCATCAATACACAGTATGTATTGTGTAGCCTCGAAGACAACGCTGCGCATAGGTTCAGACACTCTTA